GGCAAATAGTTCGGGAGGTCCTTTCTTGAAAAATAAAAATCACAAAAAAGGGCGGTGGAGTGGATCAGGGTATAGACCCTGACTGAGTTCAAACCCCAGAACCATTAAAAAAAAAAAAAACTTGAATCCAATCAACTATTTAAAGTATATTCATTGGGAGCCCCTAGTTCTCTATAAAATATAGAGTATAGCTGCTTGGTTTGGAACATCATAAGGAGAGGAGGCCTTAGCCATCTGTCTCTGCAATAAAAGGATATTTATGTGGATTTAGAGAAGGATTAACTTTGGCCGGCTAGCATCATAGTGTGACAGTTCTATGAAATGAGTTTGCTTGAAAAAACATTGCAAATAACTAGATAAACTGACCCATGGGGTAAAGTTGCTTTGGATGTTCTGATTAACTCATAGGCTTTTAGGTTGTCATGGTAGTTTCTAGGCATCAGAACCACATCTAGTTTATATGAGGAAGTTTGCCTGCTTGTTTGTGATGGAAGAAGACATGTGTGTCTCATGTACCAGTGGCAGGAATCTCTTTAGTTGTTAAGATGAAATAGAAGGTATAGAGCTGTTTCATGTGACTTAGAAATGGAACTTCCTCTGTCAAAGTCTATTCCTATCTACTCTGACCATAAATCGTTGGAGAAGCCCTTAATCTAGGAAGTAATACTGAGACCACACGGTTTGACACATGGATGGCCTTCGTGGTAGAGTCGTGACTGGCAGGATATTAATAAAGGCTATGAATCCTTCAATTATTCTTCATGGTTTTGTGGTGAAATACAGTCAACAACATCACAATAAGAACAATTATTCTTCATAGTAGATTGAGAAATTCCCACCCTGTCTAGTAAAGGAGTTTAGCAAAGAGCTTTGAAGGGAAAGTCAGCACCAGACATCTGGAACTTGGGGGACATGAATGATTATCTGATGTAAGTACTGGGTAGGCTAAGAAAAAACTGTGCCTGAGAGGTGAGAGTGACTGTGAACAGTTTTTCGTTCAGGATAAGAATCTCCCAAACCCCACAATAATTGCTCAACTCTTCCTTCCAGCTATTTGAAAGTTGTTCTTTATTTTGTGGTTTCTATGTAATTATTTCAGTGGTTTCTCTGTGTTAGCCAGATGAGTAATTTTAATGTGCTGCCTGGTTTGGGATGTTTGGTTCAAAGAAACTAAGACACAGGAAGAGCCTGTAATGGGTGCTGTGCCAGGTACAGACATTGCCTGCATATCTGTCCTTATCATGTCATTCCCAAATCCTCACATGAAGTAAGGGAGAAAGTGAGGATTTAAATTTTCTCAAAAAAAATCTGCCTGATGACTCAGTTTTCCCTGCCCCAGAGCTGGTTATTCTTTTCATCTCTTTCCATGAACCAGAATCCTTTTTTTGTAGCTGGGAGAACTACAGCTAAGGCAAATGCTGGAACCTCTCAGTATGGCCAGATGCCATTTGTGGAATGAAAGAGAATAGTGGGTAAGGGGTTGGGATGGGGAGCATTGTTGCAGAGAACACCCAGGAAAATCTAGGCAACTTAGTACAACCTGTTGTCTCTCACCTCCAATTAAACTTTAATGGTTTCGGGTCACACTTTCTTTCAAAACATATCTTGAATCAGCTACCTTATAAATTATTTATCAATGTAAGTTTAAGTAATAATGTAGGATTTAAGTAAGCACTTTACTCTTCAAACTTCACTGTGAATTAAAACAAGATTGATTTTGGCACGTGGTGTAGAATTTAAAGATGAAAGTCCTTCCTATATTCTTACAGAGTACAGTACAATCCATAGCCCTTCAACACCCATTAAAGATTCAGATTCTGACCGATTGCGTCGAGGTTCAGATGGGAAATCACGTGGACGAGGCAGAAGAAACAATAATCCCTCACCTCCCCCGGATTCTGATCTTGAGGTAGGTCATTGCCAACCCCAAGTAAAGAACAAGGTGTTGTATAGCTAACTATGGTTGTGTAGAACTGCTGTGCAGCTAGCAAGGCAAGTATCCAAAAGCTTTTGTTATTGCTTTTGTTAGCAATGAGAAAAGCAATTTTTCTCTCTTCCATATTAGCTGTAGATTTTGCAGGGCCTTTGTTGTTGTCATTTGGTTTTTGATTTTGTTATTATTTGGGGGTTTTGTTTGCTCGTTTGTTTTTTGAGTACTAAGGATAGAGGATAGAACCCAGGGCCTCACTCAGGGTAGACAAGTGCTCTACTACGGAACTGTATCCCCAGCTCTATGCAACTATTTATTTCTGTGTTTTCTTCCGTACTGATTAGATGATAAAGCACCTATTTATTTCTCTTTAAGAAATATAGTCTTTAAGGCTGTGTGAACAACCTTCTGCCATACTCCTCTGTATTGTTGCCATTTCAATTAAGTAAGTGCGATACTAAAAATGCTTAGTAAAGTCTACTTCAAAACTAAGAAGCAAGGAAAACCTGGAGGGTTCTGAACTGAAATGGTAATCACCTTCTGAGACATGTTATGGTGGAGCTCAAAAGCAAGAGGGATTAGGGGTGGGAGATCTCATAGCCTTGAATCCACTGCAGTTAAGTTTCTACTTTTTGCCAAAGTGAAATCTGATGGTGGAAAACATGATTTTTTTTTTTTTTTT